TGGTTAGAAAAAGAGTTTGGCCAGGAAACCTGCTTCTGTACCTGAACGCAAGGTACCTGCCCAGCATAGCCAAGCTACAGCTGGTGATGCTCCTTACACCGGCTCTCCAGCTAGCTTGAGCCAAAGCCCACTGCAGTCAATAGGAGCCTTTCCAATGAGCTTATTGAATTTGAATCAGATCCTTCATCACCACTTTTCTTCCACCTTTCACAAGGAGTGGATAACGGCCAGATAAGTGATAATTACAAGCGTTAGCAAGCATGTGTAACATCAGTACTTCCTCAGGTTAACGTTTCTGAGCCTGGATCTTTGCTGATCTCTTTCCTCCTTCTGTGGAGGAGGGAAACCACCCCAAAGATTCTGATGCAGTCACACAAAGTTAATTAGAATTTGCCTAAAATTACTATTACCAGGGGGGAAAGAGGGAAGGAACAAGTCTCTTCTTCCTGAGACTAGAGCAGTCGCCAATTTGGCATGAAACATGCGCATTGGGTCTTACAGACACTAGTTTATGTAACCCCAGGAATCTCCAAAAGCTTTCCCAACAGGACTCAAATACCGTGGCAATGAGTAAGGCATAAGTACCCGAACGGAACACAAGGCTCTGCTTCCATCTTCCAGCCAAGGCTGTAAATGGTGCTTTGTTTAATACACCACAGAAGAGCTCCATGTGCCCTTCCCCACCCCGTATCTGCAATTTTGGCTTCACTGCAGTTCTCAGTAAGCTGCGCCTTTCTGTCCTGCACGTGGACAGCAGCAGCTTGACCAGCTTATGATTCTTAGTGTGTGTAGAATGACTTTGGTCCAAACTTTAACAACAATCCCTAAAATCTGTGTGTGGTTGGCATGAGCGGCCGGGGGGGAGAGGAGAAAGAAGAAAAAAAATGAAAGAGCAAGACAGCAAACAGGGGATTTTCAGAAGTACTCAGCATCAGCCTAACTCTTCTCTCACTGAATGCAAGGGGAAGAGTTTAGGCTTTTTAAAAATCCCACCACAGCTACCAGTTTGTACAAGAGACTTCAAACATTCTACCTCGCTCCTGCTCCAGGGATGTTTCTTTTAAGTGACTAAGCTTTCCCTTAAAAGGCCGAAGGTTATAAAGGGCCAAAAAAGGTCAGGTTTTCAAACGTGGCCTCTAATCTTGGGTATCCAACTGGAGACACCTAGAGCTTGACTTTCAGGAATTCTGAGTGTTGGAGGCTCAGCACCCCGTGGGGGCACTATGTTCAGAGCCTACACAAATAGAAGTTTAAAAAAAACCCTAAACTACTCCTGCTGGAAGGTCGCAAGATGATAAGTTATTCTGAATTTTAGGAGATAAAGTGCTAGAACTTCAAAACAGGGAGAGGCAAAACAGGTTGCTCCCTAATGCACAACTCACCCCATCTTACTCTCTGCTGACTCTTCACAGACTGCTGCTAGGCCCAGATCATGCTTCCCTACATAGCCTGCAAGCTGGATCAATGGGAGAAAAAAAACCACCAAACAAACCCTGAAGTTCAAAGTGATTGCTTACAATTTTAAATACACCATACTGAGGAAGGGACAGAAATCAGGCATGAGGTCTGAAGTTGGGCTCCCCAAAAGTCAAACAGCTACTTCTGCAAACGTTGCCCTGAGGGTGCAGTTGACCAGACACAGGGTAGATAAGAAATGGAATCCAGCTGGGTTCTTTCCTAAGCTTTCCCCTGCCCATCTCCTTGAAGCAAGCAGCTATTCTTGCCCAGAATGCTTCACCTGGTCACTTAGAAAAGTCCTTTTCCTAGGCTGTCATCCTAGCTCTCCTTCTGCTCAGTGAAAGGAGCAAGTATATCTTGTTAGTCTCCTACAGATTCTTACTGGTGAACCTGCTATCATAATTACTTGCGCCATAAAGATTAGTAACCCTCTGGTCAACAAGTATTACCCAGAGCCAAGAACAGAGTGCTCCTTCCCACCAATTTTGGTATCTGACATCGAACTTGAATCTGAATTAGCACAGAAGCCTCACTTCATAAAACCGGTTTCAAGCCTTCAAACTTTCAGGAGACTGGGGAAGGCAGGGTACATGCAGTGGGAAGAAGAGGAAAAAGAAAGTCAGCAGGACAAAGCCTGAGACCCTTGCTCTATTAAACAGACCTTGACTGCAGAGAGAATCTGTGCAAGAACAAAGGGCCCACTTCTCCACCCACACTAATGTAACACCCTTGTCTATGGAGCTGCTCTCAATGTATACCGGTGAGAGAGGAGAACTGGGGCCAGAGTACAAGCAAGAACTCCAGATTTAGCTCACTATTTCTCACCCACCCCCCCAGATGCTGGTACTTTAACCGTCCCTTTTCTTTAGTAACACACAATGGTCTCCTAAAGAACAAGCAGAGTCCTGTGGAAAACGTTCTCAGCGTTTATCCCAGGTGGGGGGAGGGGAGAATTCAATTAAGGCAGCTCAGAGGTGCTGATTCTGGTCTACTTGCGCATGTGTTCCCTTGGGCATGCATGTCCATTCCCACTCTTGTTGCCAGGTACCTTCTAGCTCCCGCTGGGCTCCGTTCAAAGTTCTCTCACAAGGCGTCCCTCTTTCTCCAGCTTTTAATAGTTGGATGGCGTCTCTTCCTTTTCCAAGCCTAATATGTCATCCTCACGCCAATTACCAGTGCCACTGATTTCATTGTAGAACGGTGGGGGATGGGGGTATTTTGTAGGGGGTGTGGGGAAAAGGGAAGGTTTGTTGCGGTTCTCCATTACCCTTCCCCAGAACCTTAGAGGAGAGGTACTAAATAAAGTAATGCAATATTAAAGACAGACCCTCCTGTCATAAGTCGCATCTACTCACTTCTGATGAACGGGGAAGGGCCTCCAAACACCTGGCTGATTTGCAAGAGGAAGCAAGAGGCCAATTCTCGTTTGCACCCCTGCAACTTCCTAGCTTTGACCCCTACCACCTCCATGTGATCCCCTATGTGTGGCATATCCTCATGAAGCTCATTCCTACCTTCCACTTCAACCGCAAGGCACAATTCTACCCTCCTTCTAAAGACAGACACAACCTCCCTTCAAAATAAATAAATAAAATCATCCTACCCAAAAAAAGGCTAAACTTCCCATACAATTCTTCTGTGTCATCTCCTCTCCCCAGAACAAGCCACACAGGGCAGATGTTAGTCACGTTGCTTAATGACCAACAGGAAGGTGCTCAGACGACATTACAGCAATGAGGACGTGGCAAGAACCGCAAAACAGAATTCCCAAGGTTCCTACCGTGACGGCATTGAAGACCTTCTGTAACGGGGCGCACTCACCTCTCGTGAGTGCCCCCCTTGACCAAGTGCGAGTGCCTGCACACCGTTTGTCCCTGCTCCGGGACAGAGCAGTGCCTTCAGGGCTCCTCCCTGGTGAGGATGTGTTTGCCCTTTTGGGCTTTCTGGCTACAGTTCTCCAGCTGGGCCACTATAGTTCAGGTCCCTCTCTGGGGTGCCTCAATGTTCAGGCCACTTCCCCCCAGTGGCAAATGTCAGGGACCCAGGCCTGCCCCCTACTCCGGGTCCCAGCCCAGGGACCCTGTAGATATCAGCCATCTACCACATCCCTTTAACTGCATCACACAGCTTCTCTAATCCCCTGGGCCACTTCCCCCGTCTGAGGTTCTGCAGCTCCATCAGCCAGCCACACACCATCCAGGCTCCTACATCTCCAGCAAGGAACTGAACTTCCGCCCTGCAGCTCTTCTTATACTAGGCTGCTGGGCTCTGATTGGAGGTGTCCCACACAGGCACTCTAGGCAGCTTGGAGGACTCTCTTCACTGCCCTTTTTTGGGGCAGTGTGTGGCAAGGGACACGAGGCCTCCAGCAGGGGGCCTCAGTCTGATATACCCAGTCACACCTTCCTTCTGCCATGCGGTTTACAGTGAATCAGACTGATTTGTAGAGTTGGCTGTTCTCCTTCTGCTAACTGCCCTGTATCTGTTTATTCCCAGGCTGGCAGCTCTTTGGAGCAGGGACGCTTGAGTATTTGAAAGACATCTAGCACCTAGGAGATGTTACTCTGAATAGAGAGTTTAGTTGGAAATGCAGCTCAGTTACATTGGCAAAAATGAAAGACGAACTGGAGCCAGAGAGAACAGAGGCAGGTGGAGGAGAGCCAATTTAAATTTTCCCCCTCAATAGAAAAACAGGAAGCCTCCACACGCAACCCCTTGGGAATTTCATCAGAAGTAAAGCTTTGGTTGTCAAAAGTACTCAAGGTTTTTTTTGTTTTTTTTTTTTTTTAAGTTTTTGGTTGCTAAAAAAAAAACACTACATTCCCCCACACCCCAAATTTGGATGAACTGAAAAAAAAAATCTTACAGCAAAAAATTTTGTAGGGGAAAAACCATCAGTAAATTCCCGATAATTTTTAAGATGGAGACACTCACAGGAAGATGGCTCAGTCACTTTGAGTGGAGGGCATATACAGTTCTGTATGGACTTAACAGACAGGGGATTTTTCCTCCTACAGCTGAAGCCAGGAGGGGAAGAAGCCTTTAACTATCTCTCTAGAACATGTGCAGTTTTACAGTCACCTGCCAAGAGAAGCTTTGGAAAAGCAGATTGCTAATGCGGTTTTTTTCCTAGGGTCTCTTCCTGCAATACCTTCTCACACGGTTAAGTGCTGGAGCTTGGATGGCATTCAAAAAAGACGACACTCTTGGGGAAAAAAAAAAGGTCACGTCAGCAGTTGCTTGCTGACCCATGGTTAGTTTCTCGTGGGACTCCCCCTTTCTCTGATCCAGGTAGGAATCTGTCAGCAAGCATAGCCTTTGGAAAGCATTTTTCCCAGTTCAGTTCCCACTGGCTCCAAGAAGCGAAGGCCTATCAGTGGGGTCTGGCAGCTTACTATGGTTGCAGACCTCAGGTCACGCAAAGCTGGAACGTAACAGAATAGATCAGTACTCAACCCAAGTCCCCCACTGCCTACACTACCCCACACCCTGTCACAAAGCACACACATTGTGAAGCACGCGCAGGGAAGGAAATGACCTACCTCGTAAAGCAGAGCACACAACCGCTCCTCTCCGAAAAACACCTTGAAGGGCAGCTATGTTCCAGACACTCCAGGGCTAGCTATAAAGAAAATACATTTCTCAGGAGCTCAGATTAAATGTTGCTCTTTTCATTTGTAGTTTTTAAAAACATATGGTCTGGATCAGATCACCATAGCCTGCAGCTCTCACCTCAACCATAGCGTGAATTTACAAATTCACGCCAGCTTTTAGCACGCCAGGAAGGGGGGGTGCGGCGGATTAAAGCTTAAGACCGAGCAGCTGCAATGCTAAAAGCTCTGATCACGAACAAGACAACTTTACGCCCGTCTGTGACACCTGCCATCAAAGGATCACAAAGCACTTGACTGACATCCATGAATTGTCTCTCACGGCTTTTCTGTGAGGTTGGTATTACTCCCATTATACAGATGGGGAAACGGAGGTTGTGGCAGATCTGGGAAGAGAACCCAGATGTCACGGTTCTGTGGCTGAGGCAGTAGACCATGCTTCCTCCTAGACAGCAAGGTATAGCCCTACCCAGTGCTTAGTGATCTGAAAAAAGTGGGGTTTTGGGCGGGGGAGGGTGGTCCTATCATATTCTGGGAGCAGCAGCTTTGGCAAGACAGCACTTGAAGAGCATCCTGGGTTGCATAAAGTTGTTTTCGGGTCAGGTCTGTGACCCCTTTGGATACCCTCCCACCCACTTCAAGCACTAACATTATCCTCAGCTGTAGACAGAGTTACAGGCTGTTTGAGTGGAAGACCGGGAAGGAGCTTTACTACCATCACTAGGGGCCATCAGAGGCCTTCAACAGCATCTCCCCACCTCCTGTCCTCCATTGCTCTCCCTCCTCTCCAGCAGCCACCTCCCCCTCGCCTCCCAGGTCCCCGAGGACAGCCCACACTTTCCCTCCTCCCTTCCACCCACTCGCCTCCCAACCCTGGCTGCCAGGGACACACACCAAGCTCATGCTACAAGAGACAACAATCCAGCAGCTGAGCAAATAGACTAAATTTGCTTGATGTTGTCACCTTCCAAACAGATTTTTAAAGAGACACATTCTCACCGGCAAGCCAATTTGTAAGCCTCACACTCATCTACCCAGTGAGCAGAACACCATGTGGCCTGGGTGTCTAATCAAGACCAACTCAAAATATTGGATGAGCCACTCTGCAAACACCCCCCTCCCCAGCCAAGATGTCCAATAGGACCTCGTATTCTACCCAATTTGTGATCCTTGAAAGGCCCCTCCATTTTCAGAAAGGGGCAAGCAGCCCCCCTCTGAAGAGGGCCCTGTCTTTCTTTGGACAATCCCCTGCACACTGTTGGCAATGAGGTGCCTCCTTCGGCTAAAGCTGCTCATATTCCTTTCCGGAGACACTCCTTTTGCGAGGAGCACTCTCACGGGAGCAGTTTGGCAGCTACAGCCCAATGTGGGGGCGCTGCCCAGATTGGCAATTCCTACTAAAAAGCCACACCCCGATCATTTATAGGCAATACCACGGTATTCATGGTGTGCTGGGCTGTAAATGTAACACATGGTCCCCCCTTGTGTTAGGCACTGTATATGCGCCTGGGAAGAAGCCTTCTCCTCACAATCTAAACGTGACAAAGGATGCATCAGACCCATTTTATGGATGGGAAGTTGAGACAGCAGCTTTTGATACATTTGCTCAAAGATATCACAGTCTGTGGCAGAGCTGGGAGAGGACCCTGAATATTCCTGCTCCCCTGCCAGTTCCTCATCCAGTGCTTGAACTGGAAGACTATTGTGCAACCCCCCCCGCAAAAAAAAAAGCTAAAACTTGTTTCATCAGCACCTCTCCATTCTGCCAGCCCAGAGGCCTTTTGGCAAGAGCCCATTTCTCAGAGGCAATGGCAATGAGTATTGCTGGCAATCCACATTCATAGAGAAACTGGCATGTAGGCTCCTGCCATCTCCCCGCTCCTTTGGCTTGGGGACGAGGCGTTTAAGTCCGTAGCTGTTCCATACCCATGGGGATACAGATATAATTTTTTGCCCTTTTCTTTCAGAGTATTTTAAGTCAGCCAGTTTTTCCAGAGAGCTGGACTCAGTGTTGCAGACACACAAAAGGCTGGCCATTACTTATTTAACATTGTGGGGGGGCTGGACCTAGCGAAACACAATAGATTTAGACGATCGTAAGTACAGGGCACTTTGTCAGAGTCAGACAAGGTTATGCCAGCAGCTAAAGAAGTCGGCTACCTACAGTCCAGCTTGGGCTGTCTGCAGGTTTTTTTTACCTACACAGGAGCTCTGTGGCAAGAGATTGAAGATCCATGTATACTTAGCTTCCTTGTTCATACCTGCCAACATCTGCAGGATGCATCAAGTCATTAAGCCCTCTGTACCGTTAGCTCCAGCACACAGTGACAAAGCCAGCACTTCAGAAGCACAGCTGTCCCAGGCACTTAAAGCCGAACGATCACTTCAGCAGTAGCAGAAGGAGAAGGATGAGGAATGTCTCATCTTCACTACAGACAAGCTCCCTCATCTCCAAACACTTAGCAGACTGCACCAAGCATTAGACTGTGCATGGGGCTAGCTGGCTTATCACAGGATTCGCAGCAGCAGTAGGCTAGAGCATAGCAGTTTGGGCGTGAACCTGCTTGCAGGAGCTCACTGCATATCTTATCGAAGTTTGCTTTGTGCTGAAGATTTGCTGTCCAACATGCAAGCAAGCCCTAGACAGGATAAGACTGAGGCTGCGTCTATACTACAGACCTTACAGCGGCAGGTGTCGCATTGGGAAGAAGCTGCTGCCAAGTCCCTGACAGGCTCCTTTCACTCCTGAAAGGAAAATAAGGTGTCAAATCTTATCTGAGAGCAGCTGGAGCAGAGAGAAAACTAGGCTGGTCCCTGAGTTCTCCTCCCTTTGCTGTCAGGCTGGCACTGGCAAGCACCTGGCTCAACTCCTCTTCCTTCAGAGGAGCCTTCCTTCCCTCAGCCGGTTTGCTTCCCCTACTGGTTTAAATACCTGCCCTGCAGAGTCCAGGTGGAAACTCTTGCTCCCATCACCAAAGCCTCCTTGCAGGGAATTAACCCCTTCCTCTCCTACTCTGGTGTGGGGAGATGTACATGCCCCTCCCCACACCTATCACTCCAGCCTAGTCTGGAGACTTGGCTTTCCTCTGTGCTTCCACCTCTCAGGTTGCATTAAAAGAAGCTAGCACGAGTAAACTACCTGGAAGAGCAATGAAAGGGCCTTAAGAATGTTATTCAGGGGCTAGTGAAAGAGGGGCTGGGGGGAGACCTATGCTCTAGGAAATGGAAAATCCCCAATTTAGAATCATTTGGAGGAGAGGAATTGTTCCAACAGGAGAGCCCACTAGTGTCTTAAAATTCAGTGGTTATAGTATAAGCCACCTAGCTTAGAGAGATGTTACATAAAATGTGCTCAGCCAGCCATTACAGAATAGCCACCAAACCAGCAGCTCAGACTGCCCACCTGGCAAGAACAGACTCACTTTCTCATATTAATAGCTCTTCATGAATGTATTGAGCCACATCTGCAGTAGGACAACTAGTTAAAAGGTGCAAAACACTCACCTAGGGAGAGAGGGGGGAAAAAAGGACAACTGCTCCCCACAATGCATTCGGCTTCCTAAACGCTTCTAAAAAAGCGGGAGCAAAGGAGACCGTTTTACACAGCTGAAGGAAAAATGGATTCCGAAAATTTCCACACAGACACTCAAAAGGTCACATCAGAATTGAAAGATCCATTTGTTCCTTGGCACCTTCATCAGTTATGCATTGAAGACCAGACTGGATACTTAGTATTCATAATTTGAGACATATCCTTAGACTGGAATAGCCAATTTAAATAGTGGGGGGAGGGAGAGAGAGGGGAAGAACTTATGGAATTTTTGTTGGTTTGACACTGATGAAAGGAATCTTTGTAAACTCCGACCCACACAGCAGTCAATACCAGACGGGTTCGGTGTTACATTCTGAGAACATTCCATTGCTCATGGTACTTGTCAACATCCTAAAATGAATCTCTATATTTGCTCTTCAACAGGTGATTTTTAGCAACGTGATTAAATGTTAGCCCAGGAGACTGCCTCCCCCCCCCCCCCCCCACCCCCCAAAAAAAAATATGGAGTAGAATAAACAAGACTTCAGGGGTAAGAAAAGCATGTTTTTGATTCAGATTTACATTTAAAGAGGCAACAGTAAAAATTAGCCATCGCCTCTCATGGGAAGGGTGTAAGAAATCCTTGCAAACTAGACCATCCCCACATGTAAAATTTATTTTTAAAAATTGTATATTTAGTTGTACACAGACGTTTACTTTTATTTTTCCCTGGCGGGGCCCTGCCCCACTCTTCACCTTCCTCTGCAGCCTTGCCCCACCTCTTTCCCCCCCCCCCGCCTCCTCCCCTAAGGCCTCCCACCCACCCCTCTCTGCCCTTCCTCGAGGCCCCCTGTCCACTGCTCTCCCCCAACCACCTCCTACCCCGGAAAGGTGACTGGCAGACCACCCCGGGGCCTGCTGAAAGCACAGCACAGCCTGGGAAAGAACAGATGATTCTTACCTGGGGGCTGAAGTCAAAGCACATCACTTAAGCATGTGCTTGTCAGAGAGCTAGCCATCTGATTACAATAAGACTCCAGCAATCACTCCTCCACAGGTAGGCCACTGTGAAGAGACTGATCAAGGCATGCATTCTACAAGTGTTTCATATGCTGGCCATTTCCTGTCCATTAGATGTGGGAGGGAGAAGGTAAGCATTGCAGGTGAGAAGCAGGGACAAGCTAATTTTTCTTGCCACTGCGTTTGCACATTTAAAGCAGTCCATCACTGGTACTCAAAAAAGGTGGAACTTTTAATAAAAACTTTTTTTTTTTTACAGCGTAGGGTTTAAGACTATGTACATATATGCAGAATACTATATCTAAGGATATACTCCAAGGATCTCTAGAAAGAGATTAACGTATAGCTGAATCCTCATGGTTTGTGCAACAAAAACTTTAGAAAAAAAAATCAACGCCCCCAAGGAATCAGAGCAGGGTGCTTGCTACAGCTGGCTTTGCTTAATCGGGGGGCTGTTTATACAATCAGCGTACAGTAGATATACAGAACTTAAGCGTGCAACTCCTCCATTTGCAAGAGACTACCAAACAAGATGCAAGAATGCTTTTGCAGGAGAAAGGAGTACCAAGATTTTATAGTGGACATGAGGGAGCTGCGACGCTGACTCATCACATCACAGTACCCTTTATAAAACGCATCGTCTGTAAGTTACGAGTCATTCAGCTGTTTCCAAATACAATTACTCTCTCTCCCCGGAGGAAAAAAAAATTATTTATTTTTACTTTGTACAATGTTAGGAGACTTATAAAAAGATGAATTCATTCCCCACGTAGTGTTTCAGAACCAAGTTACAAATCTATAAAACAGATTAGTATATTCCTCACAAGGCCACAAACACTGCAAACTATGTCCGTGCCGTCATTAAGTTTAATCTTTTAATTAGCATAATCCTTATATCGCCATTATTGATTTTCAAATCTAGAAGTACAGGAGATTAAGGAGCCGCATTTTTCTCTCAGCTTCTCAGGAGGTGTAGGTCTTGGAACGATCATCAAAATAGCATACAGGGGATTTCCCCCCCCCCCCCTTGGAAGAACATCCAGGTAAATATTGGTTTCACTTAATCCAATTCTGCCTCAGCCTACTAAGTGGCTCCATTAGACAGATTGGTATGGAGACCAGACAGAGGAGTGCCCAGTAGGAGGCAGCCAGCATTAACCTATTATGCATCTGGTTCAATCCAACCTGCAATTTTCAATGTATGATCAAAAGCCAAGTGTTACCAGAGAACCTTTTTATGACTATCAGTGCGACTGAAGTCTTTAGATTTAGAGTCACAGTGAAGGGAAAAAAAAAATAGTGTGAGAGGTCGGTTGTGAGATACAGACCTGCAATATTGCGGTGGTTTTTGGATCAGTAGCTTCTGGGTGAGAAGAGAGGTTAGAGATGAACACCCAGCTTGTTTTGACATTTTGGGCCATACTTTCAGTTCAGGCTTTTAAAGTGCAAAGCTACAAGTCTTTGGGTAAGTGTGCCAACTCCAATCTGAAAGCTAACAAAGTGTCAGACAACCCATTACTGATGGCTGACAACTATGGGGATTTATCGCAGACATTCACAAGGAAAATAAAACCTGTTACCTCTGATTTTAATACTGGTGTAGTTCTTTCCCTCCCAGTTTATCAAGAAGGTGAAATGCAAGAAGACAACTGCAGAACTAGAGCTGTTTTGGAAGCAAAGGATGAGTAACATTTGTGCTTACAATTGCAATTATATGTGCAGGCGTCTAGAAAAATATGTACACGCTAAAGAGTCTTTGGTGCTGGATAGTCATTTTCGGAAGACAGCAAGCTCTGCTGAATACTCTTCCATCAGTATATTGCCATCTAAGACTGTACACGTTACTTTTGTATAGGATCCAGCAATGCAACTTCCATAATATATGTAAACTGTAACGGTTACTGAATAAATATATTCAAGAGCATCTCATTGTTTAGATAAAAAGCAAGGTTAAAAAAATATGTATTAAATGTCTAAAGCTTTGGTCTAACCAGTTGTTATTGCGGTAACAGCATCTGTAAGAATGGTGAAACCTCCCCTTTAAGAAATCCCTCCAGAACTTCACCCAGAAGGGTTTGCATTCAGCCCTTTTACTTTTAGTGGTTACTTTATTGCAAACGGTTCAGTGGAGGAGGAGTTCTTCAGAACCCAAACAGGTCATCTTTCTCTGCCGCATTTGAATCCATTTTGTCCCAGTCTACGGGAGAGAGGGTTTCTGCACTCTGGATATCTTGAGCAGTCAGGCCAGTGTCCAGGACGTGAGGGTTAGTTCTTGACTGAGCAAGTCTGAGAAGAAAGAAGGCGTTTATAGCCTCTATACTGCTATATGCAGCTTCATACTTCAAAATTCTTCCTACAGCTTGTAAAGAAATGCTCCTAAATAGGGAAAAAGCTGATCTTTGAAGCTCTTTGAAGTCTGATGCCTGCTTCTCAGAGTTTCACCTTAAAGACAGTCTACATTCGCAATGAGGGCTCCCTTTACAGTATAGGCCTGGCAAAACGTTGCCTTTTTCCTCCGAAGCTAGCACTGACTGGTACATTGTTAGCAGGGACCTTATCTCAGTTAAAAGAACGCACTGACCAAAGCAGCCTCACCAAAAGAAGTGTCTAAATTTTCACCATTCCAGGAATACCTGAGCAAGCAGCCAGTACATAATTTACTGCCATCCACAATCACTCCAACAGCTCACAGCAGCACTCCTGGTTCTCAGAAGCTGGTTCTAAAATTTTACTCTTAAGTAAAAAAGACAGTATTTTGAGGCTGTGTTCAGATCTGAAATCATAGAATCATAGAATATCAGGGTTGGAAGGGACCTCAGGAGGTCATCTAGTCCAACCCCCTGCTCAAAGCAGGACCAATCCCCAATTTTTGCCCCAGATCCCTAAATGGCCCCCTCAAGGGTTGAACTCACAGCCAAACGGTAGTGGTGGTCAGCCTGTAGGGTCATTTTTAACAGAATCTTTCATCCCAGGGCACTGCAGAGGTTTATGAAAGTTAAAGCCCCACAGATTTGTAGTCCAATTACTAAATTCCATGTGTACAAGCCTAATACTTCAGTGCAAACTCTCTCATGCACAAAAGATATTTGGAGTTCATATAATGGATCTTAACAGACTATCAACTCAAGTTTGACCCCAAAAATATGTTTTTAAAACCACAACAAAAGCCAAACCCAAACCATAATGATGCTTTTAAAAGAAAGATCAACAGAAAAGTTCTCATGATTTCCTAAATTCCATTGGGAAAAGATTAATAAAGTTCTCCTGCTGCATTTGCGGCCCAACCATTGTGACAGGGATAGCCTGAAAGTGAAAGTGACAATTCAATGTCCAAACTGCAGGGGCGGCAGGGGAGATAGTGACTAGTAAAATTTGTTTCTTAAAGTTCAGTTTTAAGTAGTCCAACACATTCTTTAGTAATATAGGTGAGGAAACTGGTTTGGAGTAGGATTTAAGTTGACAGCATCCCTTTAATGATTTAGGAATGGATTTGCAACTTCTCTTTCCACAATGAACAGTGGAGGTAAGGAAAGTGAGCCTTCCACCTTAAGTCCAGTGTACTCGCTTTTTTTGCACTATAAGCTCAACTAACCTTAAACTACTGTAAGTATGGTTTAAATAGGTAGATATTAGGGATTTGCACTGTAATCAAGTTGGTTTTGTTACAACAATGCAAGGATTCTAACATAAAACCCCTTGGTTAGGTGATGAACTAGATCCGAGTTAGAGGGTCTTACTCCTTGACTACATGTTTGCAGTTCATCTGGGGAATGGCAGCGTAAACGCTATGTTAGTGTTACACTAACATGGGGGAGAAGCAAGTCAGTCATAAGTGCAAGAAGATCAGACCAAGATCACTCCTGCTAGCACGGAACTAGACACTGTCAGCTGAGCGAACAGCATTCCGTTCCAGGAAGAAGAGACACTATCACCATGCTATGTTTGGGGAATTAAATTCCCCATCACACACCCCCCTATCTCCATCCTTAAAAGGTTAGTCAAATATTTTGACCATCAGCCAGCCTCAAAGTCTATCTTTCAATTAAGAGCTGAAGCACTGGCTGGGCTGCTCCCCCGGTCAGATCATTGGAGCAGATTAGATTAGAAGCATTATTAAAACTAGTCAGAGTGAAGACTCTTGGGTTGGTCCCTAGTGCCATAAACTTGTAAAGAATTATTAGAATTACCTTGAAAATGCCTCCTCCAGCCCGTCATCCATTTCCTTTATTAAGAAAGAGAAAAAAGAAGAAGAGGTCGTTGCTAAGCTAGCACGCAAGTGTATTTAAACAGTTGGCTCAACTTTCCTTCGGGCGTAGGTACAGCATCATCAAGTGCTTAGAGCAACACTGGGTATCCGGGTCTGAGCACTGCCGTTTTCTTTGCAAGGACCTAACAGATTGAGGGATTCTGTTCCACCACCAACCACATCCATTTCCAGCATCTCTCCCGTCTCTTCTCCCCCTCCCAACCAGCAGCATTCCCCTCCCTGTACCAGTACAATAGCCAGCCTAAGGCCTGATCCAAAGCCCAGTGGAATCGCCCTCCCTGCCCCCAAGCCTTCCAAAATTAAGCATCCACACGACCAGCACCCCCCAACCAAGTTAACTTCAGGTAGCAGAAAGCTGTGCAGTGCCAGGTACTGCTATTGCCTCACCCCTTTCCAAGGCCTCCTGATGGTTTTCTGCAGTGGATTTTGTTGGGAAAAAAAAAGAACAGGAGGACTTGTGGCACCTTAGAGACTAACAAATTTATTTGAGCATAAGCTTTCGTGAGCTACAGCTCACTTCATCGGATGCATGCAGTGGAAAGATTTTATACACACAGAGAACATGAAACATTGGGTGTTACCATCACTCTCATTACAGTCTGTATGATAACACCCATAGTTTCATGTTCTCTGTGTATATAAAATTTCCCCACTGTATTTTCCACCGAATGCATCCGATGAAGTGAGCTGTAGCTCATGAAAGCTTATGCTCAAATAAATGTTGGTCTCTAAGGTGCCACAAGTACTCCTTTTCTTTTTGCAAATACAGACTAACACGGCTGCTACTCTGAAATTTGTAGGGAAAGAGATGCCTTTTTATTTGTGTACTGCCTCTTTAAAATTTCTCACCACTGCTGCTAAGTCAAAATTCACTGCTGCAGGGAGGGACAGCCCAAGGCTATGCACAGTGTAAGCCCTCAAAACAAGCCTAATCCTTGCGCTGTCCCCTCCGCGCAGGGGTGAGTTTCACCCCGAGAGCAGCCACTTTGTTCCAAGTTCAGATGCTGAGACTCCGGCATGTGCTTCTCACAAGAGCCTACTTCTGTTCTCTCAACGCAACACAAAAAGGTTGTTCTGGCTGAAAGCATCGGTTTGCTCTTTGCATGCAGACACTTTCCCCAGCGCTGGAAACAAAAAGCGGATCACTCCTTAGATTTTAGGGTTGGCCAAGTCGACTGATTGCACTCACCATTTCAAGCTTACAGGGTGCAAAGTGCAGCAGATACAGTGGACCCAGCTCAGCAGGATGCTTTCAGCAAAGGACCTACTAAGCACATACTTCAGCTGGACCTTTGTGCCGAGAACATTATATTTAAAGAGCTACGGGGCAGCGTTTCTTGAGGAACTGCTGGTGTGCTTCCTTTTCAAATCTCTCCTCTTTGGAGGCTGCCCATGAAGGGTATTTGAATATTACTGAATGGGGGCTGAGGGGTTGTTTTAATTGAAAGATTAGGTTTGAGATGGCCTTTCAATGGGCAACTTGATTACATCCACTGGGGGTTTTAAGCTTTGGGGCTCTGATGACCTTGATGCTACTGAGAGTTATGCAAAAGAAGGAGGTTGGCTAAGATCCCTCCAGGACCTACGGTGATGTTGAGATTAACAGGCGATATTCTAATTTGGCCTGAAGGTCACAAAACTTGGGTTCAGACAGGCAGTCTCTGGAAGCAAAGCCCTTTGGCTAAAGAGGCCCCATCACTGCTCCACAATTCAGCAGATTTCATCTACTGCAGTGGGAGAGGAGGAGGTAGTTTGAGGTCGTGGGTCTCAGACTATTCAGGACTTGACAAGTCAAACAATAGATTCCATGGCTAGAGCACGGGCGTAACCCACACCAGCATGCACAGCAGCTACAGACTGGTGCTTCCATCTGAAAACTAGACATTCAGGTATGTGATAAAGCACATAAAGAAGTGCCCAAGCATCTGAAATGTGGGTTTGTGAAAGAAGTTTACAAGCTCTTCTGAAAATCCCAGGTCTTGGCAGCCAACAGGAGCCTAAGAAGTAATTAGGCATCCAAATCAAACTCCAGGCTCCCACTGAAAGCAAACTTGATTGGACCCCTTTGAAAATCCCAGCACGAATGGCTGAGTAGTCTGGAAGTTCTACACCCAATTGCTAAGGCTTTGGTTAAGAGGTGGGCCCAGAATGAAGACAACCCCCATCCCCAACGGAGGATGTTGGGACCAACAGAAAATGAAGCTTCACCTTCCCCCAGCATCCCTCTTCTCAGGAGAAAGAGCTTGCACCTCCAGTACGCTTACCCAGACTATGTTGTTGTTCTCAGATGAGAAGTTTGGACCCAACTCATCCACGCGTGGGGCGTTCACACTGACAGTCAGGGGAGATCTGGCAGCATCTTCGAAGTCCAGCAGGTTCCCTGTGGCAACTGCTGTGTGAACAGAGCAAAAAAAAAAAAAAAAAAACCACAAACAGTTACCTAGAAGAGTTTTGCAGTTCTCCTTCCCTGCCCTCTCCACTCCAATAAGAGAAATATGTACACCTTCCTACTGGGCTATCCTGCCACCACTTATTTGCTTTACGTTAACAGGTAGAGAGTCCTTCTCCAACCGCCCACATTGGGGCCAGGGCAGTGCTAGGCACTGTACAAACATCTGGGCAGGGACTGTAAAATCTGATGGGCCAAAGAGACAAGAGAGTGGGAAGGGAAAAAGAGGCACAGATGAGTTAAGTGACTTTCCTAGGGTCACACACAGCAGGGAACAGAACCCGGTCACTGGATTTCCCAGTCCAGAGCCTTGCCCAATGGGCTACACTGCCACCATGCTCTTGATCTATGCTACACTAGGAGTACAGAACAATTACTGGGCTAAGCATTGCATCAAAGCCCCTCTGCAGAAAAAAAGCCAGAAGCCTCATTTTTATGGCAAGACACCCTGGATTAGGTGGTGAAGCAGACTGGGAGACCTGCAGTGGCTTTGCTTAAGCATCCGTTTGAAAATGGAATTATTGAATTAAATATGAAGTGGGAATAGCCCAGCCTGCACTTTGTCCCCTAGGTTCTTTTGATATTAATGTTATTGCAGCCCATTCCCGCCTTCAGTCTAATACCACACAATGTCATTCAAGCTCACATTTGCATCATAGGACTATTGCTAACCAGGCAAACAGTAGGTGCGTGTTTGGATTTTTTCCATCTTAAAGTGCCACATTAACTGAATGTTTGCTGCTCAAGTTAGTCAGTTTGCTAGCTGGCAAGTGCCATCATTTTATGTTTCAGAGTTAACTCCTCATTGAGATGCACGGGGCAGTCCTCACCTCTCCAAGCTAAAGATTCAGGCTGCTTGCAGTCTCAGGGCTGGTCTACACCAGAGTTATGTCAGCTTAATTACATTGCTCAGGGCTGCAAAGAGTTTCATGCCCTCTGCAATGTAATTAAGCCAACCACAACAGTTTTGCCTTTTTCTTTGCCAGCTTGTATTCCTCATCACGTTCTAGCCTTCTTAACTTTCTGCCATCACTTAAACTTTTCCTCCTTCACTGCCTCCTGCACACTACCGGACCATCGCCATGTCTACTTCACAAGAAGTTTCCCTCCTTTCATTTGGCCACCCCCTCTTCTCCCTCCAGCCTCGCTGATGTGATCATGGTCCGTTTGGTTGTAGTCTTGCCTGCAAGCCTCCAACACTTCATTTTTTTGGTCCACAATTCATCTTTTGCCCATCCTCCCACCCCACTAGCCTTGTCACCCTGAAGTCCATTACAAGCAACGTAATCTGCTCTCCCGGAACGACTTCAGTCTCCCCTGTTTGTTAAATCTCATCTTGGCAGGAAGGGGCCACTCTTCTATGTAATAAAGTGCTCCTCCCTTTTTTACAAAGTATGTATTGGCAATAATCAGGCCATGGGCTCTGGCTAACAAAGACGTGCTCACCAGCTGCATTTCTGGGTCCAAGGTATCGTACTTAACAACAACTGTTTTAGCCCTTGGGTTCTCCCATATGTCCACTGAGAGAGAGTTTGATTAATCAATCAGGCACTTAGCTGGACCTACTGGTAAGCAAGGAACTGCTAGCTAGCTGGAATTTCTCCTCCTCTGTCATAACACTAACCTATGGCACGTACTCACATAAAACATTAAAGTTTTGGTCTCTACTCACTGCTATTGTCAGAGCTCACTCTTCCTTTGGATGTCCACTATCATAGCCTGTAATGTTCCGCTAGGATTGTTCTTACTCTATTCTTTTTTACTACTGATCCATGGTACTGAGCCACAAAGCAACTCGTAGCACTGGTCAACCTCCATAGATTTTGATCCCTTCTATTCGGTGTCTTGTACACAAGCAACGTGCACCCTCCTTCTCTTCAGCGTCTCAGCTACTTCTTCGTTTCCTGTTCATTGCTCCTACATTCAGGGAAGCCCGATGTAGTTCTTGGGCTCACTTTAGCTGTACATGCCCAGAATGTAGTAGCATTTACCTTTTCTCACAGCAATTGTGTGTCACTTCTGGGGGAGGGTGGGGGACGACGACACCCTAGCATTGTATTGATATTCTCCCTGAAGTCAGACACAGGGAGAGTATGCGATTGTAAAAGCTGCACCAAACTGGCTAGTCAGGCCTGACATTTCTTGGTTTGACCCCCTATTTTAGGTGGGCTGTCTGCCAGCCAGTGAGCAGCCCTACCTGCCTGGATCCCTCCACTTCAGCAGAGGGCATTTAGAGAAGAGGCTGCAGTAGAAGCCATGGCTGAGAATGGCTCTCTTCGTAGTGGTTGGCCAAAAACAAATCTACACCACGGATACAAAAAGTTGTTTGTCCTGCACTAGTCTCCGCAGTTCTGCTGGGAGACTTGGTCAAATCCAGATGAAGACACCCAGTTGCTGCTCAGAGGTCTTTAGATCCCTGAAAGCTAACAGGGCGTTTTGTTCATCACTTACATGCTTTAAGGCAGGCAGGATCTTCTGAGTTTGGGCCACTTGCACCTTCTCCCTCAGAGAGGGACTTTTCCCGCTTTTCTTTCTCTGCAACAAGAAAGACTCCCTCATTGTCCGTAGGCACTGGATTTCCTGATGTGCATTTCACGAACGGAAATGTGATATGTCGTGACCATAAGAGCTGGTTGGGAACTTTCCCCATCGGGGCATTTTTCTGTCAAAGTATTCATTTTGCCAAAATTGAAGTTTTGCCACCAAAAGATTGATTTTCCAGCTGGGGGGGGGGAATGGGATTTACGGAGGGCTCCTGGACTGACTGCCTAGGAGACACAACTGCCAGCAAAAAAAAAATGAAACTGACAAAAGCCTTGCAGGCAGAGAGCTTTGAGATTCCATTCTGGTTCTCCCAAAATGCAGTTTTTCCGGAAATTGCATTTGACTTTTTGGTCACAAATTAGGGCACAATTTTTCTTCCCCAGGGGGGATTTCCATTTTCAGCCAACTTTTGTGACTGCCTGCATCAAGGGCTTTGTGTACTTGGGACAAATGTTTTCCGAGTCACACCCTCAGGAGACACTTATGTTCCACTCACTTTCCAGAGGAGTCAGCACCACCCAAGACAATTGGGGCCAGTTCCTCCTCCTTCTCCACGCCCTACATGCCTCTCTGGTGGCATATAAGGGCAGTCTAGGAGATGCAAGTGGAAGGGACGTGTGATTGAGGGTATTTCCCCAGTGCAGGAGATGCATAGGGCTGACACAAGTGGCCCTGAGCAGCCCTGGATTTTTTTTTTTTGTTTGGGGGGGGGAGGGGGGGAAGAGACGAGGAGAGGGGAGAAATACTCTAACTTACATGCCAAGGGATGTACCAGCCCCTACACCTGCCTAGAATCCAGGTGGCACAGACCCAGTCATCCCAGGTGCCCTTTCCCAGCAGCACAGCACAGATTCTGCCCCCGTAGGTTTGGTTTTCAGAGGTGTGAGCACCCCAGCTTCATTACAGTGGGCACGGTGCTCAGCACCTATTGGGGGCGGGGAGTGGAGAAGAACAGCCCCAGAATATAAAATTCTCTCTTGCACACTGGCATGGGGTGAAAGGGACACAGGTGTCAGGCGGACTTGGAAAGAACAGCTAGTTACTTTACAGCTTGTTAGGCACACTGTATTTCATGTGCCCACCTATGGTGAAAGCAACAGGCAGAGACAGGTTTACAAGGAGCAGGACTCAGTACGAGGTGTCAGCCGCTGATTGCGGACAGTAGACCCTGCCGTCAGAGTCACAAGAAACCTGCAGTTACGTTAGCAGCGCAGCCAGAACGGGCCTCAATGCCCCCCCCCCTTTTTTTTTCTCCAGTGCATACTTTGAAAGATCACTTGAAAGGATAATAAGCCCAAATTATTTCCTTGGCTATATTGCAAGACACGGAGAGCGACACACTCACCTTCCTTGGATGCTTGCCAGAACTCAAACGCGACTTTGAACGCTTGAGCTACAGTTAGGGTGACTGCCTGGGCCTGAAAGACAATGTTATACAGTGCATTCGTTGGCAGTTTCTCCCGTCGATTTCAATCATTTGGCGGTTCTGCTGATAGATGTGAACCTGGAGCTTCCTAGTACTCTGGTGCCAGGACACCTGCACCCCTTTAGAAAGGGTAATCAAATACGGATAGCAGCAAGGATTGTCTGCTCTCCACAGGACGCTGCTGCAGAGAGTTGGCTGCAGGCGTGTTACACCTAAGAAAACAATTATTTTCAGAAAGAAGGGAAGGTGTCATGCTGACCGCTCTGGAGGCTAAAGACCTCTCTAGCCTCAATGCACACAGAGCGGCTTGCATATTGGCCTCTCCCCTGTGCCTCAATCCCAACCAGGTGGGATGATTACTGTTAATCCTCCAAGATACTTGCATGCCCCACTCACTATAGTATCTGAGCGCCTCACCACACCTCTGCAAGGCAGGGCAGTGCCATTATCCCCATTGTACAGATGGGGAAAAATGAGGTACAGAGCAGCTAAGTGACTTGCACAAGGTCATGCAGGAAGCTGGTGGCAGAGCAAGGAATCAAACTTGGTTCTTTCAAATCCTGGATGAGTACCCTAAGCATGGGACACCCCTCCTCAATTTTCAGGGGCCATCTGACTGCCAAGAAAGGTGCCAGCGATGGCAGGTGTTGGTGGCTGGACCGAGTGCCCTCCACTCGTTTCAGTTAAGATGCTGAATAGCCAGGAATGACTTTCACTACAGATGTAGGGCTGGATTAGCCATGACAGCTTAGAGAGCTACTGTCCATCACCAATTCCTTCCCCTCCCCATTCGAGTTGGTTCTGAACCGAGGACCATCTCGAGTAACAGGATGCTGTAAGAAAAAGCATTAGATAGCGGGGGAATGAAAGCTGGTGCCCCCCACAATCAGTTTCAGCTCTTAATGACAGAATAAGGGCTGAATGTTAATGAGCCCAGAGAGATACAGGGGAGCTTTCAAAGGCACAAAAGGTAGCGTAGGCACCCAGCTCCCAGCGAAGTCAATGGGAGCCTCTATCTGGAGGGGACTGTTACACCCACTTGCACCAGCAGCAAGTTTGGCCCTCTAGGCCACACATTTTGTGTGCCACTGTAATTAAGCGGGTTTCTAAACCAGCGTAGAAATGGTCCTCGCGTGGACTCACTTCTGTAGTTGAAAGAGTCTCAATGTAGCTTATTTCTCCTGAGTTTACAGAAGTGAGCTACGCTGCTGTAACTGCATCCACACCCACTCAATCCGTATGTTTCTAGACAGAGCCATACAAAAAACCCCTGCTCAAACCAGCCCTTCGAGCTAACCAGCAAGGCTTACGAGTGTGGCGAGGAGCGACGTGGGATGCCAGGGTCATTAAAGAACAAGCTCATTGAAGATTTTACACACAGTGGCACATCACAAGGCAGAAGCAAGGACTTTTAAAGACAGCTGACGGGTGATAAGTTTGCGTTTAGAGTCGCATGCAAAATAAATCCAGCTTCCAAGACACGGAACTTCCCCCTCCTCCAGGCTTTGGGGAAAAAGCGGAATAAAAAGTTTAATTGAGAAATAAGTTCCAAGAGCCACGGGCTTTTGAAAAAGGGAAAAATAAAAACACAAAACCCATCTCTGCCAATTAAACCTCACAAAAGTAGAGGATCTCATTTGAATGTCTGAGCTATTTACATCTGTGATGGAAGTGTGAATGCTTTATGGCAAAAAACTTAAATATGGTAATTAAGTATGAAACTCCCCACAGCTGTTTACAATTTAAGCTGTCACATCTGAATCAAGTTTAATAGACCCAGCTACCATTGAGAATTGCCCATGAACTAAAAATATGGAGTAATTATATGCCAGAGCCGGGTAGCTATACATACCGAGCCCCGTCTTAGATGCCAAGCTCTGGTACTGCAGTATCAGTTTACCTGTTATCAGCATGGTGTTCACGCATTGTGTGTGCGTACAAAGATTCTGCTTGCTACCACAAAAGGCCTGGGAGAACTTTTTTATTTTGAGGAAGACGTACGGCGCTGATGTACCAAAGAGATAATTCTTTTAGCACTGGAGAGATTTAAATTTTAATTTGCAGAGTCTCTTCTTATCTTGGCAGCGCAAAGATGGGGCTGTGCTTTGCAGCCAGGAGAGAACTGGTGGCTTCCTTTATGTTCCCTGCTTCCCCAGAGGGAGGCTGGGGTGGGGGGTGGGCGGGGGGAGGAGAAAGGGACAGAATATTAACACTGCCATTCATGCCTGGAGCAGCAGGGAGGTGTTTGGAGCGGAGGTCTGGGCCACGTTGCTGGGGGCAAATTTGGTCTCTTCTCTGCCCCAACCTGACTGAAAGGGGCTTGCTGCAGGGGCAATGCCAAGTCGCCGAGATGAAGAAACCTTCCCACCCCCCACGCCATGATGTGAGAACAGTCGTTGCTGCAGCCTCTGTTTAGATTATGCTCCCGATTTGGGGGAAAAGATGGGAATGGCAGAAATAAGGGCATGAAGCAGGCAGGGTGTAGTTTAGATCTACAGCTCCCTGCCTAGATCACATCAATGCAGGAGGAACGGTGTCCCCCACACTCCCTGTGAGTTCCAGTGTGCAGGGGACGAGCACCCCCAGCCCTGCAGGCTTCCAGCCCCTGCAAGCCACAACAACTGCATGGGTTCCTCCCCAGAAAGGGGCTTCTGCAGCTCTGTGTCTGGGGGAGGGGTATGCATCGGTCTGGTCCCCGCATCCTACTAGAGCGGGCAGAGGAGGACACCCCCCCGTTTCCTAGCACACACACACACACACTAAGCCCAGCCCCCCCTTGACTCATCCACATCTCCACCGCAAGGTCTCTCTGGCTCATCAGTCCCTGCTTCCCCATTGTGAGAGTGGAGGAGATCTAATCACTCTACACCCACTCACAGCTTATGCCCAGTGACCCATTTCTCTCCCTTGCCAACTCTTAAGTGCTGGGCCTTAGCCCATGCTGTCCCAGCTCAGAAGAGCTCTCCCGGTTATGCGATACATTGAGCCAAGGGGAGGGGTGAGCAGAGAAACCAAAACAAAAAAAAAAAACCTATCCGCTCCGCTCAGAACAAAAGCTGGTGGCTATTTCCCAGCTCTGGCTATTCTCCTTAGTATGTGTTACGATCTTGTGTTCCATGCTGTGAGTCAGTTACAGTGCGATGGTGCTAAATCTGCCATCAAGTACAGTAACAAAGGTATCACGGGCTTCAATAGAGAGAGAGCGCGAGCTCTTAAAAAAGTGAGCCACAAAGCAGGGGGGAAAGTTGAGGTGAAGCAGGAGCGGGGTCTCACACACACACGCCTTGTATTGCCCGGCCACTCTCCTTTTTAAAATGCTTTCCCATCCACGGCAGAGTCCAGTATTCCGGATGCAATGGTAGCATCACCAAACACAGTTACAGTCTTACTGCAGCCACGGGGAGTTAAGGACAATGCAGAAATGATTTCATTAAGCGAGGAAGTGCCAGGAGAATTTCGGCTGGCGGGAGGGGGTTAGAGACAGTTCAGCAAATGCTACTCCCCCATTTAAAATAAATGCCCCCTTCCCACCTGGCCCAATTATTAAAAGCTTTAATTCTGCATATCTTTAAGCATGTGACCAAGTCCCATTGACTTCAGTCAAGCTAAACTCTAAGCACACTGAAGTATTGATTTAATTGGGTATGGGTCCTGCTTTTGAGCAAGGGGTTGGACTAGATGACCTCCTGAGGTCCCTTCCAACCCTGATATTCTATGATTTATGGGATCAGGGCCTTCAAGTAAGTTTCCAGGCTCAACTCAGTGTCATTTTTAACTCTGCATTTTGCCTCTTTAATAGGGGACTCTCACTCCTGAGAATGGGAGATGGGGCCTCCCCTCATGGGGGCATGCAGCCTAGTGGTTAGACTAGCCGAGATCCCGGCGCTCCCATCAGAAACAGGTGAAGTTGTGGATTCTCAGCCCCTCAAAGTCAAATCCAGCAAGGCATTTAAAAAGTTCCTCCCAACATCAGCACAAAAGTGACATAACAGAGGATATCTGCCCCTCCCATCAGCATGTATCCAGGTTGATTTAGCCTCACTACGTCCTACGATATGCTCGGGCCTCCAGAGACGCAGGGCTGCTGACAGCCCCGAGTTATGTCTGCAAGCATAGGCGCTCCAGTACCTGTAGGCAGGGCAGTTTGCTGGATCAGACCCCTAGATCAGTCAGCAAGGTCCCTGCCCCGAGGAGCCTATGAAGCACTGAACCCTGCCCACCTCTCTGGTAACAGCCGTACGGACCCGCGCCCTCCTTTCTACTGACCAGTTTCCGTTTGGGGCAGAGGAAAGCATGACACTCCAGGTTCTCGCTGTGCTGGCTCTGAGCAATGTAGGCAAACACTTTATCGTGGCTCTTGTCTGCGGTGCAATAAGAGATCCTGAAAGTCAGAGCGAGGGAAAGTTAAACTCTTGGATTATAGCAGGGTTGGGAGGAGGCCAGCTTGCACACTGACCTGGCAGGCTGAGCGTCAGATTCAGCCTGGCAGACGCAGAGGGAACATGAATACCGCCACGTTCTAAGAGCCCCCAGTTGGAGATTGGGGAACTCTTGGCCTGAAAGACAAGCCCCATTTTAGGCTTCAGAACCACAACTGTGAAGGCAGCAAAATGGGACTGACGGGGAGCGGAGCCACACACCGAATGATGCGTTTGGTGGGGTTACAGCCTCTGAACAGGAGCCTTTACCTTTGCTCAAGGAAAGGAAACTCTCTGCCCAGGTTTTGTGACATGCTAGTTTCTGAGCTGGGCAAGAGACACTTTGCTGTCAGGACAATCTCATGCATATTCTCTTCCAGCAAGGAGAGCGCCCAAGTTGTTCCAGCACCACACATTACTGCGGAAGCTCCCCTGTGTGCGCTCCAGTCAGAGAGAGAAGCTGACGTCGGGGACAAGGAAAGTCTGTCTGAAAGAATGAGCCTCAAACTCCAGGAGATCTGCTCTAGCAGTTGCAGGCATCCTTGAACTCAGTGGGCCATGGGGATTCACTCAGCCTGAGGTTTGAGGGACATTTCCTCCCATGGGCTGCTTTCCCCTGAGCCAGGCAGGAAGCGCTTTGCATTTCTGAACAAGGTTTTGGCCAGCAAGCAGGGTGCCCTTCGACCAGGCATTGGCCTGGTGAGCAGACTATAAATGCACCTTTGTAGGGTGTGGGGGCAGGACCCTCGGAATTCTGAGCGTTTCCTTCCCCCAGTGTGAATATCGGCACAGAGATTGGCTACTCCCATCTTATGTCAGTGAGTGTCATTGCGACACACAGCAGCTGAGTCACTGAAAGGCAATGCAAGGTGCACATACAACTGGCAGTAATTTAATCTAGCGGGCTATTGAGGATGTGACCTCCCCACAAGGTAGGTTCAAAGGAAACCCTGAAGAGAATTAGAGGAAGAAAGGGGGACCTGTGGTTAATCTTCTCACAGCACCAGATTCTCCATTCAGCCCTTGCTTGCATGACTGTCCTCTAGGAAGGGGAAAGTGCATCTCATTTCCCTGACAGACTTAAAGAGCCACAGTCAAGGTTTAACAACACTTTCATTTCATTTCTTTTTGTGCATCAGGTTACTTTTGCTCATTGGCCTACATTTTGCCTTGCCAAGTGGCGTCATGCGAAGCATGACGCCCTTCAGGTTTATTCCCCTCCGTCATTTGCTTTCAAAGCAGCAAAGTTGGCCTTTCTGAGAACTGCAACAAAACCTCCTGCGTGCATCTCACACACACACTCCTCCCTACTTCATAGCAACCCCCACTGTTCACCTGCATGTACAATCATCTTTTGTTTTCAAAGGGAGGGTCATTCACACCAGCCTCTGAAGTTAATCAGTTTTGTAACCGGAAGGCAATTCACCACACACCAAGGGGCGAGTCTGAAAACCACCTACAGAGTCACAGGGGCTGTGTTTTAAGCTGCAGCAAGTCCGTTAGGATGCCTGCCTGAGGAGAGATCACAGTTTCTGCCGGTGAAGTCTGAGTTTGCCTAATAAAAGTTCCAGGTTTGAGGGGGCGTGCTCCAGAGACCACAGCTCTGTCAGTTCAATCCTGACCCGGCACATGGGAGAAATTACTTTGGGCAATAAAAGAAAGCTTGCAAGAGAAAATTAAATTCATGCACACCAACCCTCCCTCCTTCAGGGAAAGTTATTCCTTCACCCAAAGTGGTATTGTTTTACAGAACTGCCTCTGATGTTGTCAGCTGCCTTAAGATGCAGACACTTCAGTCAACTCAGAGGATACCTTTGTATAAACGTGGACCGGAAGGGACAGCTTCACCGTTCCAGTGTCCAAGCTCAATTCAAGGCAGCAGCTAACTATTCAGACCTCAGGTCTGCACTCACTTGTTTCCCCACCTCTTGCCCTCACCCACAACACAGTTCCGCTGGATTTCAGCAGACCAGGACTAATCTGGAGTGATTAAAGAGAGCAGAATTGAACGCCAGGTCTGCAGCTGTTAACTTTTAATTGTGAGGGGGTCTATGGGGTGAAGATTGCAGAAGGAACTCTACTCCCATGTGTTTTAACATGACCATGTTTATACAGTTGACTGTGTAGAGCAAGGACGGTCAATGGTTTTGTCCAGACCCCCAGTGATCCAAAGGCTTCCTGTGAGCTGACTACTAGGCAATGCAAAATGCCACTACCCTGTATTTCAGTATGGGGGAGCAGACTTACAACAATACGCCAAGGCAAGGGAGGATGGAAGGAGGCATGGAACACAGGAGTCAGCAGACTGGATCATACCTGGATCCATCTACTCTAGTACCCAGTCTGACTGACCACACCAGATGCTCAGAGGAAGGTGTAAGAATCCCAGAGTGGGCAGGGATGGGATAATCTCTCCCCCTCCCCCCCCCCACCCTCCACCTCACAATAGATTGTAAAGACAGAAGAGACCACTGCGATCATCTAGCCTGATCTCCTGCATGACAGGCTGTACAGCTTCCCCGACTTAATTCCTCATCCCGGTCTTCAGCATTACAGACTGGGTCAGGGCCTGAACCAAAGCCATGGTAGGAGTGCGAGAGGGGAAAAAAGAAGAGTTCAAGCTAACCCCCCCCTTGAAGCAGGAAGATCCAACTGGCTAAGTACACCAGCATCCCTAGATGGAACTTTGAAGGAGCCGAATTTCTCCATGCAACCGGATTAACACCAGTAGCTGTACGTGCCTCTTGCTGAAGCTGGAGTTTTAACTTCGGAACCACTTTTGACACCTGAAGTCAGGAGTCCAAGGTCTGTTAAGCTGCCTGAAATTTAGCCTGCCTTTTGCCTGCTTCAGAGCGAGTTCCGGCTCCCTGGAGGAGCTGAGCTGTTAGCGTTGGAAGCCAAAATCCTCTAGCCACACCACAGCAGCCCGCCCACCTCTGTGTGTCTCAGCCCTTGCTTGTATCTCTAGGGTAAAGAGGAGAGTTCAGCCTCCATTCAGTGGTTGGCCTCGTCAGGGAGGCTGAAAGCCCATCAGGGCAGGGACTGCGTGTGCTTTCTGTACCTACCACAATAAGGCACCAATCCCACCTGGAATCTCTGGGCGCTACACAATCAATACAACAGCAAGGAGAGGAGTTGTTACTTGGACTAGGGCTCCAACAGAGGGAGAGAAAGCATTAGAGGGTCAGACAGAGCCTTAGCAAGCCTGGAGAGGAGACAGAGTAAAGGAGAATGAGCTGTGTAAGTCACCACCCTCCATTACCGGGCGGATGGTCCCCCTTTTCCACACAGGAGACCAAGCAGAAGTCAGACGCTAACCACATTTGACTGCTGCCGTTTGTTAGAGCTCACGCGGAGCCTCACCGCACGACACGGATGCCATCGTTTCGTGCGGGACAGAACTAGGAGACGTCTCAAACGTTCCAAGCCTCCTCTCCAGGAGAGGCCTCTGTTACCTTTCCCCAGTCTCAGATGCTTTTGGGCCTGCGGTACTCAAGTGCGTCTGATTCCACAACACTGTCAGACGCCCAGCGGACGGGGCACATTCTAGAGTCGGGACCGCCAATCTAAATGAACCGCGTGCTTTGTATTTTGCAGAGTCTTTCCTTATCCTCCCCCCTTCTTGGCTCTGTTGCAACCTTTCGGAAGGGGTGTGCAGAGTCTTCATTTATTCACTCTAATTTAAGGTTTCCTGTGCCAGTAATACATTTTAACTTTTTTAGAAGGTCTCTTTCTGTAAGTCTATAATAGATAATTAAACTATTGTTGTATGTAAAGTAAATAAGGTTTTGAAAATGTTTAAAGAAGCTTCATTTAAAATTAAATTAAAAATGCAGAGCCCCCCCGGACCGGTGGCCAGGACCCAGGCAGCGTGAGTGCCACTGAAAATCAGCATGCCATAGGGTGCCTACCCCATGCACTAGACAGAGGTTTTCCCTTTGGATTCTCATGGTGCCTAGTGTTCACTCATTCCCCTCTTCCCACGTAGCCTCGGCTTTCGAGAACAGATTCCTAAAGATGCGGTCAGCCTGCAGTACAGGTGAAGACTGGAGCCCGATGCATTTTCTCTCCCTACCCTCACACCAGACTACGGGCTGTGTAGCCAGGGCTAATACGCCCATCAGTTCAAACAGGAACAGGTTTGGGCTCCACACCTTTACATGCTGAAGTGTCTCCAATAACATACCTGTATATCGAGATGTTTTCTATCAATTCGTTAGTTCCGCTGTCATTTAGGATAATCCCTCTGGGAGATACCTTCAGGGTAACTTTCTGCAGTTTCTTGCCACGTGCTTTAGCCTTTGGAAAGGGAAATAGATTTACTGGTATTTAGCATGGTTACGTTCAAAGCTGTTTCACGGAGGCCGATTACTCACTCTAGACGTGTATTGTTTAAATAGACAAATTAATGGCACTTGTTACGATCAGAGACTGAATTTATTATTAGGTACAATAAGGCCCTTATTAAAATGGTACCTTTGCTGAAGCACCAATTTATACTGGTATTGAGCATGCACCCCCATTACATGCTTGGTTACTGTGCCCACAATCCCTGGGGTCAGAGGGACTTTGCTGTACTGATTACAGTGCCTGAAGGCTACAGGACCGGCATGGATGTAGTCTTGGCAGAGATCAACTGGGCTCCTGCAGAATTTGCCAAGTTCTGCAGAGGTTTCATTTTTAGTCCAACATCCAAGGAGATACTAGAGCTCTCAGATTACACATTAGCCAGCAAGAGAGGGGTGACATGCAATGGAGTAAGACTGACCCCCTAAGTTTTGTTTCAACAGAAACATCCTCTGGGGGCAGTAACCACACCACACCTGTAGTAAGCCATTATCTTCTGTTCAAGCTGCCTTAAGTAGTCCCATAAAGGAATAGTTTATTGAGAGCCCGATCCTCAAGTTACTGAGGAGAGTCAGTGGATATGTTGCCTGGGGAAAAGGAAAAAAAAAAAAAAAAAAAAAAAAAGACAGGATCAAGCCCATTCCAGAGTGCACCTTATTAAAAAGGAAGTGAAAGCTTGGATATCCTTCACCTAATGCACTGGGATTTGCACTCAGACTAGTGTGTAACTCTACCTTGCTGTCCTAGGGACAACGCAAATCAGGGCTTGCTAACAGCCTCTGCAGTGTTTAGTTCGACTGAGCTGTTCACTGGCTCATGAGGGCTGACGAGGCACATCAGATTTAAGGAAGCAGTACTGTATAGTGACAAGAGGAACTCCAGCTCAGGAGCCATTGCTCAAGCTGGCAGGTGCTGTTCCAGAAGTGGCCTTCAGTATTCCACAGCATTGCCAATCCCAGTCAGTCATTCAAAAATCCTAGTCAGGCTGCCACCCATCCCCCCCCAAAAAATCAGGATTTTAAAAATACCATGTTTCACTGATTTCTTGTTTGAGTCTGTAGGGCACACCTTGGTCCCATTTTCAAGCTCTTCTCTGCTAACGAAAGGTCTAGAAATGTCCACTAGGAAGAGTAAGCAGGGTCTCAAATAATCACATGACTCCAGGAGCTGGGGCTGTAATGCCATCATGTACGACAAGAGTTGGCATCGCCAAGCTCCAGTCTGCCACCTCCCTGCTTCTTCTAATAAAAGAATGCTGCTTACCTCCTCCCAAATTTGTGGGCCAGCCCAGTGCCTGTAGGACTTGTATATTCCAGATACTGCAGGACTGGGCCCTTTCCTAGCTGCTGATTTGCAGGCCAACCAAGCTGCAGAGTACTCCTGCAGAGTAGTGGCTTGGCCACAATAGAGTCCAGACGGAGGAAGTCTGCTGTTTCAACACTAGATTTGCAGAGCGGTTTGTTTCCCATGTCTTTACTCCGCATTAGAGGGACGAATGGCTGGAGCCGAGACATCTAAGAGCAATGGACTGTTGCCAAAACCATCTCTAACCACCTTTCCAGGCCTGATGCTCTAACTTTGCATCACTCACAAGTTCATGTTTGCTTTGAATTTTAACTGCCCTTCAAGACAGAACCAATTAAGAGGACAAAAAGCATTAGATTGGCCACATGTTATAATTCGGCCACATGTTCTAATTCGGCCACCTGCAGCCCAGTGAAGAGAACCTCAGCTCTCCTACTGAGTACAGCATCTCCCCACCTGCCAGGCAGTCATCAGACCGGCACCACTTCAAAGTGCCGACAGCAACGCGGCAGGTTCCAGACCCTCACAACCCAGCACTGTCCCTCAGTGAAGAGCCTCAAGGAGAGTTGTACTTACAGGGAGACTTCTTTGCGTGCACACCCAGAGTCCTCTAGCCAAAGGCATGAGCTTCCACCCACCACAGCAATGATCACCAGAGATCCCGGACACAGCATGACTAGCAACCCGAGAGTTAGTAGGCACCCAAGTGAGACAGATGAAAGTCAGTTTCACAGAGACAGACAACTTCACAGTACTTTGCAAGAGCCATGCCCTACTGGGAGAAGCCAGAGATCCTGGAGCAGAGAAGTGAGCAGTGCCCTCCCCAAAGCTTAAAGAGGGGAAGGGCCACACTCCCCAATCTCTGCCACGAGGTACACAGCCAGTCGCAATATACGTTTCGTGACACGCCCATAAGCTTTGGGGCCAGATGCTCAGCTGGTGCAAATTTGCTTCACTTTACTGAAGTCTGCAGAGCCCAGTGATGCTAGCAGAGGCTCTGCCCCTAGGTTTTGCTGGAGGGCTCAGCGGCTGCAGGAGTCATAACCCACCCCAGAGTTCAGAGTAGGGGAGGAATGTGTTAATGTATGTCATTTCCCAGAGCCCTCCCCCGCCTATTTCACTTCCCTGGAAGTTCAGCCCGTGTCAGGAAGATACTACTCACTGCCCGAAGCTTTGAGCCACCACATTTAGTTTTATGCGGATTAACCATGCGACCAAGTCTTTGCCTCATTCCATTTGATAAGTGTCTAAAGATGCATTAATTTGTTGTAGCACGAGTGGTGAATAAGGATGGACTCCTAAGTAAGCTGCAGTGTTAAATATTTAACAGTCGGTAGCTGTACGGCGCTGGCAAAATTAAAGTAGCATCAGTCAGCTGCAAGGAGACTAATTGCCTTTTCAGTGGCCAGGAACGGGCTGCACAGTTTGTGCTGGTCCCTTCCAATCCACCTCTGGGATTGTAAAGCTCAGAGAAGCCCATCCAACCAGGGGTGCGAGAACCAGAGGGGCTGCTGCACCCCATAGCTTGAAGTGGTTTCCAATCACACACAGGGGTTTACAGTTTGGTTCGATGGCTTTCAGCAGCCGCCCTCCCGCCCCAACCCCTATAAAAACTGTTCCGATGCCACAGCATCCAACACAGCCAGATAGGGGACTGGGAATTCCCGTACCAGAGGTCCACTAACCCATCTCTGGGGAGACAGAGGTTGGACATGAAGAGTATATAGGCTGCTTTTAGAGTAGTTGTACCATTAAGAAATCAAGATTTGGCAAGGTATCCACAATACTAGATATCTATTTGCAACCCTGAAGTCTTCCTATAACAGTGTGTCTCAGCCATGATTAAGGGTTAAACCATAGCTGCAGACACAGCAATCACCATTCAAGGTTTTCTCTTCCTATAAGGAGGACCAAGTATAGCCATGGGAGAGAGTTCTAGCAAGCACTAGGCCAGCGGTTCTCAAAGTGTGGGTTGGGACCCCAAAGTAGGTGGTAACCCTGTTTTAATGGGGTTGCCAGTGCTGGCATTACACTTGCTGGGGCTGAAGCCAAAAAGTCCGAGCCCCATGGCCCAGGGCTGAAGCCAAAGTCTGAGGGCTTCAGCCCTCCGTGGCAGGACTCAGGTTACAGCCCCCACCTGCCCAGGGCGGGAAGTCCTGAGGGGGGCAGGTCTCGGGCTTTGGGTTTGGCCCCCCCCCCATGGGGCAGAGGGGCTCAGTCTTCAGTTTCCCTTCCCAGGGTCACGTAGTAATTTCTGTTGTCAGAAGGGGGTCGCAGTGCAAAGAAGTTTGAGAAACCCCTGCACGAGAGAGAGAGAGAGATCGAGATCGATCATATACTAGGTTTTATTTCACCTAAACTCCACAGTCCTTCTGGGTGACCCATCATCAACTCCTTGCTGCTTATGCAAAACCCTCGGAGAGGGGTGTGTATAGGAAGCATTTACATCCAGGATAAGTGTTCAAGAATCATTTGCTTCAACACCAGGAAGAGAAGAGTCTGCATTGTTTGGTTTTGCAGGGATCTCCTTTATTAGGCGTCAGATCTACTTAGAACCCCAATGAGGGCACTCACCATTGCCACAATTCTTTTGACGGCAGCTGCCGAGAGATCTTCTCCTTTGGGCTGTTCCACGAGCGTCATGCCCATGTACTTTAGGTTGAAAAGCATTCCCTCCAGTAGGGTCTCTCTGGTGTCGGTCCAGTTTTCTGGTAGCTCTGAGGAATAGCAAAGATCTTTAGTCTCGAGCGTACTAGGACCTGAGAAGTGATTTCATTAAACATGAAAATGCTGCAAGGTGATGCAAATGTGGGCAGCTGGCTCATCTGCATCTCACGTATTTTTGCCCAGGTGTCAGAGGGGGCCATGGAATGCTGCTACACAATTGTCACGATCTGGAAGTATTTGAGAGAGTGCTAGCTACCGAAAGTACTTCGGTGATCATCACTCCTCCTGCCCCATCGCTGTGGCATCTTAGCATTATTCAGGTAAGACGATGCTATTCTGCCCTCAGTGAAGAAGAAACCCTGCTTGAAGGGAGATATCCAGGCCAGGCAGAAAGACTCAAGGCCAGGCCTTGGGAAAGAGGTGCATGACCTCGGTGGAGAGAGACTCAGCCCGATCTCCCACTGAAGGGAGAAGACAAGACCCTACAGCTCATCTGGTTTTGCCTCATGCAGTTCAGCAAATGAGCTGCAACAGCCCTATAATAGAACCGGGGATACGTTCTGGAGCAGAATGCTCAGCAATATGGCCATGTACAATCATCCTCTGTGGGGGGGAGAAAAAAACAAAAACAAACCAAAACAAAGACACCCTTGCCCAATTTGGCTCCTCCAAGCATTGCCCTGTGGCCAAGTCCTCAGGCACTGGAGAAAAGGTTCCTCATGAGAGCCACGTTGCTAGGAATAAGTTTATTTAAAGCCACCCCTTCCCCCCCCTATCCCTGTTTGATGCAGCTGGTGATCTAGCCAGAGGTGTGTGCCAGGTGGTGGAGTCACCAGAGAGGACTAACTAGCACATACAATTCTGCAGCCGTCCCAATGGATCACACCTTCCCTATGCCCTCCTGAACAAAGCTCCTTTAGGACCAGCCAATCCCCTCTAATTAACTGCTAAACGGATTATGAATTAGCAGAGATTGTGAGAGTGCTAACATTACCTTATAAGTCTCTGGAGTGGGGAGGCTTTTAGCAGCACAAGCCAAGAAAAGGACCAGAGGTGTTTCAGTCCAAACACACCCCCACAGCCAGACTTAAAAACGGTGTTACTCTGCTTACGGCTGCCCCCAGACTCAGGTCAGACTAGGGGAAGCAAAGAGGGGGGGGTATGCACAAGTTAGAGTGCATCTGAGCCCGAGCCCATGCACAGAGTTGGAGTCACATGAGCAATCGCCCAAAGGGAGAGTACGCAGATGCGAATAACTAAGCTGCACCAGCGGTCTTCGCTATCACCCCCAAGGGGAGAGAGCGCGCGTTTCTGCATCCGACATTGATGGGAAAGATTGTTCTTGGCACTCACTTTCTCCTGTTTCGCCACCCCATCTCCTAGCCCAGTGGCTCTATCTTTTCAGACTACTGTACCCCGTTCAGGAGTCTGATTGGTCTTGCGTACCCCCGCCCCCAAGTTTCACCTCACTTAAACTACTGTCCTACAAAATCAGACAAACATTCAGACGTCTGTCAGCGCATTACTGAAAAAACTGCTGACTCATTTTACCATCTAATTATAAAATACATTTCGGTGTATAGAGCAGTATAAACAAGTCATTGTCTGTATGAAATTTTAGCTTGTACTGACTTTGCTACTGCTTTTATGTAGCCGGTTGTAAAACTAGGCAAATATCTACATGAGTTGAGGTACCCCCAGGAGCATGTGAACCCCTGGCTGAGAACCACTGCTTAGCCTGTAAGAAGAGTTGCTTCCTTACCCACGAACTGCATGGTGCAAGGAATGCAGATTCCCAGGCAGGCCAGTGCAGCTCACCCTGCGGCTAGTGTGCAGAACCACCTGAAAAGCCACCAGAGAGCCCCCAAGTCAGAGAGCCTGGCTTCACATGGTGAACAGCAATTGCTCTGCAGCAGCCCCCTCTGCGTGCATTGGCTAGTCATGTGGAGCAGGACTAACTGATGTCAGAGCAAACCCCTCCCCACGATGCATGCTTCACTGAGCTTTGCTAGGCACCGAATGGAGACAGGAAGCTTGCACAATAGCATTTAAACATTCCAGGCCAGATCCTCAGCTGGGGTTAATCCACACAGTGGTTATAAACTGGTGTGCTACATAAGTGGAGGATCCAACCCTCTGTTTTGAGAGAGCAGGGAGAGATTGCCTCAATACAGCAATCACGTACACTTCTTAGCAGTAGAGAGACCAGACTTGAGGCTCGTGCAGGCTATTGTTTGACGCCAATCTGAACAGATCAGGTTGTGTCATCTCCCAAAAGGCCTCACGTGGCTTCCTCCCCCAGGCACAGGGCCACCTCTCGTGGCATGGTAGTTGTACTAGACTTCGCCGCTTTCCTACTGCTGCGTGAGGTAGGGGCCCCCGATGAGCGAGTGGGTAGGATTGATCACAGCACGGAGGCACCAATTCACCACCCCCGTAGCTAGTGATGTTAGAGGCATACTGGAACCGAAGAGGTGGAGCAGGACTGGAACGGAGACCTGGCTGCTCAAGCAGAAGCGTTGGCAGTTCAGTTGTACCAAGACTAAATACATCTAGTTCATCAGGGTCTAAGCCGCTCTAGAATTCACCATAGCCTCGGGGATAGAACCGGGAGCCTCTCACTCAGGGCAGGCCCCTGCTACCAGCAGTAAAGGAGATTCCCCTTCCAGCAAAACTCGACGAGCTGTCAAGCAGTCCTATTTCATGCCAGTATGGGCAGCGCTGCACACATCCTAACCAGTTCATTCCCACTGCACTGAATCGGAGCCCGCTCCAGTGAGCGCATTTAATTGGTCACAAGGTTTTAAATTACAACGAGACAAGGGCTCCACCTCCCCTTCCCAGGGAAGCTGCTATGAGCATGGGAGGCTGTCTTCACTCCCATCTATGGAAGGCACGAAAGAGGGCCCCAAAGAACGGGGGCCACTGAACGGCCGTTTTGGTGGAAGAGATGGGTCCGTATCCTTGCTCGAGTACCTATCCCCACTGCAGCTAGTGGCCGCATGCTGGCAAGGAGAGGCGTTTACAGCACACTGCAGAGGATTAACGCAGGCAGGGAATGCTGCCCAGGGGCTTTGGCCTTTTCCACCTCATCTAGCAGCAGAAGCAGCAGCCTTGACCAGCCTCCAAACCTCTAAGGGTCTGCTGCTCATTTCAGAGACACCAATGATCCTTCCCAGAGAAAGTTACGTTAAAGATCCAATTGCTTCTTCCACAACCATCCAGCTATGGCAGCACGGTCAGACTAGCCATGCTCAGAGACAGTTGTGGAGGGTGCTGTGTGTGGGGGGGGGTATTGGTCTACAGATGGCACACTGCCACCACCCCCCACCTCGTCAGCAAGAAGTGCTGTCTAGCAAAGGTCTCTTGGGTGCTGCTCTCCCCCACATCCACCGTTTCCTCAACCTGCATCAAATCCACACGCTCCCTTTCCCAGTAGGGGCAGCTACTCTAAGCCTGTGGATGTGTCATTACACAAAGTAAAAACTATTTCCCCATGTTTATTCCCCCCCCACTGTTCCTCACACATTCTTGTGAGCTGCTGGAAACGGCCCACCTTGATCACTACAAAAGGTTCCTCCGCCCGGCTCTCCTGCTGGTCATAGCTCACCTTAAGTGATCACTCTGGTTACAGTGTGTGTGTGTGTGTGTGTGTGTGTGTGTGTGTGTGTGTGTGGTAACACCCATTGTTTCATGTTCTCTGTGTATATAAAGTTTCCCCTCTGTATTTTCCACTGCATGCATCCGATGAAGTGAGCTGTAGCTCATGAAAGCTTATGCTCAAATAAATGTTAGTCTCTAACCTGCCACAAGTCCTCCTTCACTAAGCCTTCAAGACAGTCCACTCCAGCCCCCATGGGGCCCATTCCAAGTGAGCTTGGCAAATTGCTCCCCTCAGATGCAAGTGAGCATCTGGCAGTGTGTAGGTACAGGCCAACCATGCCAGCAGGCAGATCTCACTAAGGGCAGGTCACTGCTCACTCCTGGAGGCAGCATGTCAAGTACACACACACACACACACGCCCAAACAGCGCAGGTACAGAGAGTAGCTAGCAGGGCTCTGCTTAGGAGACTCAGGTACAGACCACCGAACCCTGTGGGTACATAGACGCGATATGGCTTGCTACGTGCCCTACTATTTAAGCAGGGTCGTGTCTCCCTGCCTCTGGAGCCTTTCCCCACTGCCTCCCCCTTGCCAAAGCCCCCCGTCAAGAGCTGCACGCCACAGAGTGGACACAGCCTCTTTTCACTGCAGCGTGTAGCTCCATACACGCAGCATAGGATGTACTGTATGAATCAGGACATAGAAAACCCCTGCCAGACCTCCGGTGCTTCAGAACGGCAGGGTCACAGGGCCACAACCCTGCCTCTCCACGCCCCCACTCCTCTCTGCTGAGCAGAACTGCTCTCCACAGCAGGGAATTCACCAGCAGCCTCTGCTCTGCGCACATGCTTTTACAGAGAACACCTCCATGCAATCCTAAACCGGAGGATGACTTCACCCTGATGCAGCGCAGGGAAAGGGAGCGGTTAGCCCAGTGACTCAGACACCACAGAGCAGGGCACATTTCGGGCTCTTAGGGGTTATGGAGAGGAACCGCCACTGCCAGGTTTTGGAGCCAGGTGCCGTTTCCTCGTGCAGATTAGTAGCCTCCACCCCTCCAGGCAAGATCTGTAAAGCACTTTGAAATCTACGCACTGCATCAGTGGTAGTCAACTGGCAGACCGTGGGCCTAATCCAGACCTACAGGCGCTTTTAAATGGATCCCAAAATTTTCTCTGGAATTTGGACCTTGACAAAAAAAAAAAAAAAAAAAAAAAAAGATAAAAATAAGACTACCCTTGCACTACACTGTCAAGATCTGTTCTGCAGTGCATTGGAAGGGCTACAGCAGAATCAGAGAGTTAGATTTTAGGGTTTTGTTGAATTCAATAGGAAAGTGAATAGACTGTCATTCCTGGGGATACTGAATCAGACATCCAACTGTGTTTTATGCTTCCCCCTAGATGTGGTCCAATAAGTGTATAGTTCCATCTCTAGAGCAGTTAG